AGTGCGTGTGTGTATGGTAACCTCTCTCTCACACATAATATAATTAATATACATACATGCATAAAGTACCTGCACCCAATTACACTCATTCACACACAAGCTCTTGCGCATGCAACCCCCCCACCCCCGCTTTACACACACACACACACACACACACACACACACACACACACACACACACACACACACACACACACACACACACACACACACACACACACACACACACGGAAACACATACACGCATACTCTAAAAAGTTCCTTTTCAACATTTTGAACTAACATTATCTGTTGTGTAACGATAAACTTCTTCGTCCTTCTCGCAAAAGACATGACTTCAGTTTCAAACGCACATATCCACACATCCCAGATTGTCACTGATGAGTGAATTCAAAAAATCCCGCCCCTTTCCAATATAATAATAGTTGAAGCTTTTGCAGGGATTGGGACATTTCGAGTCAAAACTAGAAACCTTAAGAGCGTTAGAGTTGTCAGCCGTTGGGTGAGCCGGGCATGTTGGATCCTGCAGATTGTATGTCCGGCGCTTCAAGAAGTCTTCTTTGGATTTGAGCTTGCAGCACGACGAGGGAATCTGCAATGGGGTGTGGGGAAAAGATTAACATACATCTAACCCTTTTGTACCCGGAACGATCAGTGGTTAAATGATGTAAAGAAAGGCACCAATGTATTGGTGCAAGGAACAGAAAGAGTTATACCTCAATGAGGCATTCAGTTGATCTGCTACGCACATTCGAAGTATCAACTCTATACCATACGTTGATGACAATGATCAAGGGAAAATCCACGTGGAACATGGTGAAAAGTCACAGAGAATGATGTACAGAAAAGTTGGAAGATACGGAATAATATCAATAAAAGCTAGTCTAAGATAGGGAACGGATGAAAGTGTCTGTTTATTGTCTATACCCTTATGCAGGGTGAGAAAGGCAGTGAAGATGACGATTTTGATGTCTCATTGACACGCATACCGGTTGAGATACTATAATAAACAAGAAGTGTTCGTTCATTATAGGATCTACCATGTCCTGTGGTCAGAGGCGACGCGTCTATATAATCAAATAATCACTGCTTCCCTTCCTAATTATGAAACATTGTCGCAGTCAAATTCACCCATAGACGTAAACCTCATAAATTAAATGTAAAAAGACGTTTATAATCACCAATGAACAATAGACTATGCCTAACCTTCAAAACCGTTTCATTGCCACAGAAATAGCCTGTTCGTCCCTATCGGGCCACTCCATAAGCAGTCACAAGCTTTGATTAAGTAAGCTTAAAGTGAGGCTGGAAGAGTCAACCAATGGATTTGAAGGGAACATGTGCATAGCAGTCAGAACTGTTTCATTGTCTCATATACCTTGTTCACCCCTTTCGGGCCACAGTTATAAGCACCCAGACGCGCTGATTAGGTAAGCGAACTATTACACTGGTCGAATCTACCTCACAGATGTGAGGGGAACTAACTCCTAATAATCCTTTGACTCCTGCTACTACACTGCGAGTGCTTGTTTTTTTCCTCGACTTTTTAACGTCTTATAATCAGATCGTGACCTCGATTATGACAACGGCTCCTGGCCGCGAAAAGCTAGACAAAAAACAGCCAAATGTGAAATAAAAAATTGATAGTTGGCGTGCTCTACCAAAGTGTTTCGGCTGTCTGGTATAACATGCCATTGTAGTGCTGACATCTGTGCTTCTTTCCTTGGTGTTCGTGTGTTCAAATCTAAAGTTAAATTTAAGGTTAGTTAGAATAAATATTTAATGAAATACTTTCCCGATTATTTTAGCGGTTGAACAAGCATACAACATGAATTCAGGATTTGTTTTCATTCACAACTCAGAGTTGCCGCCTCCAGTGCCAGTAAGATTCTTGTGACTTGTGTGAGTGTGATATCTCCAGGCCCTATCTGGTCCCATTTCACTTTGATTACCCTGTCAAACAAGTCAGCCTTCGCCCCTGCCTGTGGTATCAGTAAAACTGGGAAACGTTTGCGGTCTAGATGTAGTTGTTAGGCTCTTCGCTGTTTCACGATAAGGTAGTGTGTTCGATTCCCATCTTCTTCTTCTTCTTCCTTCCCATAATGTCTTATCGAGTACCTCGTACGGCTTTCTGACGGGTGGTTGGCGGGTGCGCTTGTGTATTTTTTTACTCCTTTTCCCCTATCAAACATATGTCGTCCTTATCTCTCTTCCTTCTATTCTCTGTATGTTACTCTTTAGTGATACCTCTAATCATCGGCTTTTATGATACCTATTTATGTTGCAAGTGATGTAAAATTTTACTGAAATAAAACTAAACATCTTTCTGCAGGGATACTGTATCCCTTTCAGTCAGGATTGGCCCAGACGGGCAGGGTTTGTTTGTTTCTTCCAAACGTATACATTTTTATCTAACACACATAAGCAAGACTGAGGGTAAATCTACGTAAAGAACAGCTTGTGGATATGTCGGCGAGGCAATCAATAAAGCACACACACACACATACGTGTGCACACATACATACATACTCACACACACACACACACACACACACACACACACACACACACTCACACACACACACACATACACACACACAGACACACACACATATTTAAGCACACACGTACACATCCTGCACCACCCCACCCATCACCCCCCCAAAAAAACAAGAAAAAAAGAAAAACCACACTCACACTTGTCCACACATACGAGCATACATTCACACATACATACACATACATACACATTTACACACACACACACACACACACACACACACACACACACACACACACACACACACACACACACACACACACACACACACACACACACACACACACTCACACACTGGTACACACCTGCAATACTGACAAACTCACCACAAAGTATTGGCTTACTTCTATTGTTTGTTTGTTCCGAAGGATGTGTGTTGTCGCACCCCGAAACACTCACACACACATACACACTCAAGTACACACGCACATACCATACATACATACATACATACATACATACATACATACATACATACATACATACATACATACATACATACATACGGGGGCTCTCGTGGCCTAGAGGTTAAGGTGTTGGCCTCTCATTCAAAGGTCCCGGGTTCGAATCCGGGTAGCGACCGAAAAATTTTCTTCTCTAAATTTGTTTCTTTCACCTCATTTCCTGCTTTCTAGCAATGTTCTGTCGTCTGCTTTCTCTCCTCTTTCTGCCCCCACCCCCTCACCTTCTTTGCCCCTTCCTCTGGGCTCCTGATTCTTTCTGCAGCCTTTCTACTGCTACTCCTTCGCTTCTTCTTACTGCTGTCTTTCTGCCACACCCCTGATCTTCTGGTAGGAAAGATCTACACCTAGCCTTCTCAGACAAGGGCAAAACATCTCGAAGGGCCCGTGTGCAAGTTACGCATGTTAAAGATCCTTTGGTATTCTAGAATCGATAAGAGTAGGCTTCGGCCGCCACTCTCACAAAATTCAAAATTTCCTACCAGCTGAAAATATTAGGTATGTCCTGCGGGCTCATATGACCTTATGCAGTTGCGAACGCCGTAAAACACTTTACGAAACAAGCAATACATACATAGTGCTTACATACGTTCATACGTACATACATACACAGATACACACAGGCAATACTGACAACTCACCACAAAGGTATCGGCCTTCTTCCATTTCACGTTGGTACTGAAAGACCCGTGGTGCAGCACCCCACAGCACTCGTGCTGAAACAAGACATGCAGTCTGGCCCATTGACTTGTGTGATATAATCATAGACTGTGCATTCTAACCATTGATTTGAATTTTTTTTTAAATCCTAGATCATCCACTGCCATGGCCGCCACTCTCTGCTCTCTGTACGAGAGCCTTTTTCGGGAGAACATCAAAAGGAGACGGTACCTGAAGAAGGTCGGTGACCCTGGCGAGAAGCACGAAACTTCTTGAGGTCGCAGATAAGCACAACAGACTAATGCCGTACGTGCTGCCATAAATTACTGGCTCCCAACGCTATGGACGAGCCGCCATAATTCCATATATCCCGATTCCTCTCCCTCAAAAGAAATTGCTTGCAGAGGACATGAGTTCAAATCTCGCCCCGGGGAAGTTATTTTATCGAGTATCTCCGTTAGTATGTTGAGATGCTGTATGGTACTCAGCCCTGATTGACTGGCAGATTCGGTCAAAGCAGTCTGCTGCCTTAATCATCTAAATTGTCTCGATGGAGACGTAAAGCACTCATTTGTCTTCGTTTAGCACGCATTCTCTATGCGGTTTATTGTAAATTGGAACTGCAAATGTCTTAATTCAGAGGTGGGCTGTTTCAATTCTGCATGTCAGGGAAAACCCGGGCCGAAAGGGGTAAAACGTCACAAGAGACACGCAGAGACATTCGAAAAAAATATTCTTAAACGGAAATCGAAATGACGTCAATTGCGTATGACGACTACGAGCCTTAAGCTAAAACCGCACTATAACAATGCGGGTATGTTAGTGAGATGTGGAAAAAAAAAGAATAGCATGACTAGATAAATAATGTTGAGCTTGCGACCCCAAACGCTGAGGACGAGCGGTCATAATCTCTAATCGTCCCGTTTATCCCTCCCTTCAAAATAAAATAATGAACACACCATTTAAGGAAAACAATAAGTGCTGCCATCTGCGGCCATAGTGATCATTCTGAAAAGCTGCTTGCTAGTATTTCCTTTACAGTACTCTTTTTACTACGCAAGATCTATAACTTCTCTTCTTTCTTGGATGCTAAAGGTCACCATCAATTCATGATGTACGGATGAACGGACTATAAGTATTGGTATTAGTCATAGAGTTACCTCCTTTTAAACTAGAGTCCGTACGAGGTTACGTGACACGGACACATTTGAGTTTGTTGGCGGCCATTTTTAATGTGGCTAAAAAGTTTGTTTACATGTGAGTGGGCGTGTCTCTGCTCTTAGTCTTACGTGTTTTATTTGATTCTAACGTTATGTTTTGATTCAAAGCGATTCTCTTAAAGTTGTCCCTTTCTGGATTAACGTCTTACTGGTTCTGTCAGGCAGTTCAGTGATGTCTGTTTTCTTTTATTACATCATCTATTTTTAGTGCATAATATGTCTTATAGACACAAATAGTCACTCCGGGTTTCTTTCTTAAAACATAAAGAGCCATCAGTAAGGTTCTGGGCCATGTGAAGTTAAGGTTGACTAGCAGCTAGATCTTTTTCACAAGGGGCAGGAAATTTCTTTATCAAACTGAAACAGTGTACTTTTTATTGTTTTGTTTTATTGAATGTTGTCCAAAAACACCTTAGTAAAGGTTTTTGTTTCAGTTATCACTACACTGAGTAGAAAAACAATTGACTAGGCTACAAAACAACGTTCAAGTTCACTTTTTTTATCTTTAGTGAGTCCAGAGTTGTCACAGTTGCTTTACTAATGTCCAAAATTAGACTTACTTAAAACAGCAATAGGAGGAGCTTTAGTTTAAGTGCTGTATATGGTCTACTTTAGTTCTTAAAATCAATATAAACCAAAGTTTACTACCGACATAAGAAAACACTACTTATAATTTAGTATACTTTTTTTTAAAAGTGAACATATGAATGAAAAATACAGTTTCCTGTTCAAATGTCACATGGGAAAGTTTAACTCGATTTTAAAAATACCAGTACATGTATTCATCATTTAACTGTTTGGCGGAATTTGCTTTATCAAGAGCTTCATTGCATTCCTACACCTAAAGGCTGAAAAACTCTGGAATTTTTTTCCCCTATGGCTCATCCTCATTTAATTTAATGCCATACTCATATATCTGAGAGGGGCCGGGGGGGGGGGTGTTGGTATTGGGATTCGGGAGGAGAGAGAGGGTGGGGTGGTTATAGGAGGTTCCCATGACACCTACATCTTTTCACACTTTAAAAGTTCTATAGGCCCTATGCGCTTTGATTCGGTCAATAAGAAATAAACCACCTTGTAGGTAAAGTGCTGATGAACAAATAAAGGTTGGGGGTTTTTTTCTTCTTTTTTTAAAAGCCCATATCTATATCTCTCTATCTCTTTAATAATACATTTATTTGTAGATCTAGTTGTAGAAAGAACGCCGTATTATTGCAATTTAGTAATTTAGATATAGTACGCAACGGCGCCCATGTAAAAAAAACAACAAGAACCAAGCCTCGCCTATTGTGTATGAGTGAGAGAGAGAAAACATGCCTAGCCCATTGCTTTAGCATGAACTCATTCACACAACTAGCCACAAAAAACATGGCGGACGCCTCTGTCAAATGTGGCCATCGCGCAGCAAGGCGAGAGAGGGGCGTACGGTATCTAGTACTATAGTGTACATCTATGGTATTAGTTAGTGTACTTGGCTTCTCTTATATACTTCCATTGCTCCTAGCTCACCGACACAACAGGAGGTCAACTTATTTTGTCGTAATGTGGCACAGGACTAACTACCGTTATACCACAGACATTGGCACACAATTTTTATCGGCATCTGTGACGTAACGGCTAAACGAATCGTTGCCGCACACATGAGACACGACTTTGATCTCTTACTGGGGATATTTTTTTATGAAGCACCTTGGTCTTTCTGATGGGCTGTTGTATTCTTCTCAGCCCGGTTTCACACTGGCAGGGTCGGAAGCACGCCTCCTAAAAGATCTACAACTTCATTAAATAAAAATCCCCCCTCCCCTCAAAAGCAGCAACAACAACAACAACAACAACAACAAAACAACAATAACAACAAATGCAACAACAGCAACAACAGCAACACTAACAACAATAACAATGATTGCAATAACAACATCAACAACAACATGTTAACATGTTGTTTTCAAATCCCTTTAGCTGCGAATATTTCGCTCTTGGCAGCGCAATGCCTCCCTCAAGTAACCACATGTCCTTGTCATCTGGTCAACGCCAGAGTAGAGCAGGCTTTGTAAGTCTATAGGTGTGTGTAGAAGCTTGCGTCGAAGAACTCCCAGGTTTGGGCAGTGGAGGAGAAGATGTTCAACGGTTTACTCGTGGTAGTCACAGTGTCTGCAATGGGGTTCCCACATGGGGTTGATTCTGTTTATGTGCTTGTTGGTGTGTAAGTGTCCTGTGCGGGCTCTGAAGATCAATGTCTGATCGGCTCTACATAAAAGATTCGAAGGGTCTTTGGGGTTGGGTTTGTCCATGTACCCGAAGAGAGATCTTCCTGTTTCTGCGTTGGCCCATATGTTTAGCCACTCGTCTCTGCCTTTGGCTTGGATGATCCCTCTGCAGGCCTGTAAGGAGGCGGTTGTGTCTGTCTGGGGCAGGCTCGCTCCAGTCTTCGATAGATGGTCCGCAGTCTCATTCCCTGGTACTCCAGAATGGCCAGGCCCGGACGCCATAGGAAGTGCCCATCTGTTTTACAAAGCTGAGGATGTTCCCGTCACCTCTGTAGTCTCCTCCTCCTTCGACGGCTTGGAGTACTCACATTGAGTCAGAGAAGACAACAACATCCCCTTGTGTTATTGCCCCTTCAAAAAAAATCTTGGGCGATCTGCTCCAGGTTCTTTACTATGGCGATTCTCTCTGCGTCATAGTTAGAGCTGTATGTTCCACATGGGCCAAATAGTTGGGTCTGCTTCATCACTCCAAGGCTGTTTCGATATTTGATGGTAAATCCGTATCCAACATTTCATGTAGCGTTTGTTGCTGACCCATCTGTGTATGCATGGATTGGAGTTTCAGCATACGAGTCCACTGTCTCCAGGGCGCTAGTTCTGAGTATTTCTTCTGGTGTGGTCTTGTCACAAGAAGGGTCTAGAAGTCTCGTCCTTATTGGGATTTCTGGTGTCTGCCAATATGGAGGTTCGCTGCTGATGTTGGTGATTGGTTCTCTGTTCTTGGGTGGGTCAAACTCCTCGAGTAGTTTTGTTGCTTCTCGCATAAAGGAGGTCTTCTGGATGCGTGTTCTTGGTTCCCACTGATCTGCCATTTTCCTGTTTTCGTTCGTGTCTTCTAGCCGCACAAATCTTTCATAGGTTTCGAGTGTAGCACTCTTTCTTCTGAGGTCCAGTGGTTCTATGTTGGTGTGGATTTCGCAGGCGCTTGTAGGCGTGGTCTTCATCGCGCCAGAAACAAATCTGAGTGCTTGGTTCTGTACTCTGTCAAGCTGTGCCAGGGAGCTTTGGCTGGCTATGGATTGTAGTGGTAGGGAGTAGTCAATCACAGATCTGACATACCCTATATAACGTTGTCGGAGGGTTGCTTTGTCAGCTCCCCAGTTGAGTGATGAAAGGTGTTTCAGGAGGTTTAGTCTGGAGGTGGCTTTCTTGGCCAGCTCCCCTAAGTGCTCTTTGAGAGACAGCTTTCGGTCCAGTAGTACACCAAAGTACTTGGGATAGTCCTCATGTCTGATGGTGGTTCCATTGATCTTAAGGTTTGCCTGACTTGCTGTAACTTTGTTTTTGAGGCTGAAGAGTCCAAAAACAGTCTTGCCTGTGTTGATCTCCATCTTCCATAGCAGGCAGTAGGACGAGATAGTTGTCAGGTCTGCGTTGATGGCTTGGTTCAGTGCTCTCATGTTACTTCCTTTGCTCCATATGAGTAAGTCGTCAGCGTAGAGTGCTTTCTTGCAGGAGATGACATCTGGTAAGTCGTTCATGAACAGCAGGAAGAGGGTACACCTGAGTGCTGACCCCTGTTGGAGGCCTTCCTCAAGTGTCCTCTGTGAAGAAATCTTGCTGACACATGACGTCTGGATAGTTCTGCAAGACAGAAAGTTCTTGATCCAGCTGTACATCCTTCCTGCTATCCCAAGCTTTTGCATTTTGTAGAACAGTCCCTGTCTCCACACACGGTCATACGCCTGCCTCAGGTCGATGAAGACGGCCACAATATTATCTTTATCTTGAAAGGCATCGCTGGTCTTCTGGGCAAATCTGATGAGGTGGTCCATAGTTCTTTTGCCTTTCCTGAATCCTGCCTGTGATGTGCTGATTGTTCCGGTGCTTTCCATCCACCAGTACAGTCTTTTGTTGAGCATTCTCTCGACGACCTTACCCAGGCATGATGTTAAAGAGATTGGTCTGTAGCTTGAAGGCTGGCTTGCTGGTTTGTCCTTCTTTAATATCGGTGTGATGTTTGCTTTCTTCCATTCTGTTGGGAGCTGTCCCTCATTCCAGGTCCTGTTGTAAAAGCCCAGGAGTATGGAGAGGGAAAAGTCTGTCAGGTTGAGGATCATCTCCAACAACAACATGAACCAAACCCAAAACAACCCGAAAAAAAACATAACAAAAAAACCCAACGAAGAAACCCTGACACCGTAATAAATTCTTAGCTCACCTTGACGTTGATCTCGTCGACGATGGCGGACTTGACGTTTCGTGTCCTCGGGTCGCCGTCGTACTCGTCGACAACAAAGCCGTGCAGCTCGCTCAGGGCCTGCGAGTGGAGTGGAAGAGTAGATCCAGCTGAAGACCTGTAGGCTGCCGGCAACTGCGTTGACTAAAAAACAAGAAGCTCACAAAGGCGTGAGAACACTGAAAATTAAAATGTATAATTTAACTTCGTTTACGCCAAACGAGCCAGCTGTTAAGATAGATAGATAGATAGATAGATAGATAGATAGATAGATAGATAGATAGATAGAGAGAGAGAGAGAGAGAGAGAGAGAGAGAGAGAGAGAGAGAGACTAAAGACAGACAGACTGATATAAAGAGACAGAGAGAGAGATGTGGCGCTCATATGACCTTATGCGGTTGCGAGTGCCGTAAAACCTTCTACTATTAAAAAAAATTAGAGAGAGAGGCAGTGAGAGGATGAGAGAAAGAGAGAGAGAGAAAGAGAGAGAGACACAGGGATAGAGAGGGAGCGATAGAGAGAGAGAGAGAGAGAGAGAGAGAGAGAGAGAGAGAGAGAGACTAAAGACAGACAGACTGATATAAAGAGACAGAGAGAGAGATGTGGCGCTCATATGACCTTATGCGGTTGCGAGTGCCGTAAAACCTTCTACTATTTAAAAAAATTAGAGAGAGAGGCAGTGAGAGGATGAGAGAAAGAGAGAGAGAGAAAGAGAGAGAGACACAGGGATAGAGAGGGAGCGATAGAGAGAGAGAGAGAGAGAGAGAGAGAGAGAGAGAGAGAGAAAGAGAGGGGGGGGGGTAGATGTAGAGATAAAGAGACGGAGAAAGAGCTGAAGAAAAAGAGAGATAGAAAGAACAAAAAACGATAGAGATTGAAAATTGTTTGTAAGATGCTATGTATGGCTATAATTTGTGCCACAGAAGCTGACGAATGGACAGACAAATAGTGAAAGTATGAACTGAGTACATTCCTGTTCCTCTCCGCTCCCTTTCGTTTCCAGTCTAACCCATTTCCCAGACTGACACAAATATGGGACAGAAACGAATGTGACATGTTTTTGTCTCCACTCGCTTTCCGTTCGTGAACATCCGGTGTTGTCAGTAACACAGGAGATGTAGATCTACATCGTATTGAGAATGCTACCCCTGTGTTCAGAAACAATGCCGGCTGGCTTTTCAATTAGTCTGATTGTTTTGGATGAAAAGAAGACCCCGCGTCCAAAAACGGTACTGGACACAGTATTTTTCTACGAAGAGGTGATTTTGGAGAATATCATCATCTTCTGGATGAAGTTTGAAGGGGTGAGGAAAAATGTGTTCCTACATTCGGATGTGACCTGAAGCCTTTCAAACCCTTCTTCATCTCGTTGGACCTCATACTGAGAAAAAAGCCCCAACAAATTTTGCATTGCAGCAATGATCGCTTTGTTCAGTGACACCGAGTCCATTGTTTTAGTTTGAGAGGACAAAGACAATTCTGGTGATCTGATCACTTGCTGAGAGAGAACTGTAGCAAATTTTAGTTGCGAGATAAAACGTTCGCAATCGGCTCAGCAACTGGGAGCACAGAAAAAGGAGAGGACAGCGAGAGGGGTGCACTCAGTTTCCAGTAATGTAATAAGAGACACTCCCGAGGATTCGGCAACTTGGAGGAAAGGTCAAGCTGGGAGCAACAGGGAACAGAGACGAAAACGAGTGCACTCAGTTTATACTTTGAGTCAGTCCGACGAAAGGCTGGCGGATAGGAAAAATCAAGAAGTAAAATAGGTGACCGAAGATTCAAGTAGTTCAGTCTTTGAAAAGATTAACTTATTGCGGGCACGCAACTGGTCATTCAACAGTTCATGAAGACGCACTATTATAGCATTAATCTCTTTATTGATACGGATTTTTCCATTCTAATTTCTTTATTTGAAACTTAAAAGAGGCAAGTTATAACATTCTTACTATTGAATATGCCAACACAATTTTTTAAAACTCAACAGGTAGGTCACGCAAAAGATGGATTTGAGAGAGTTAAGTAAACCCTGAGAAACTATAACATTCCAACTGAAAGAACTGCATGGTTGGCCTATCATAGAAAACTGCATATCCCCTCGACGCTTAACGGCAACAGAAGATGTGAAAGTTAAAAAAGTAAGTAAAATAATATGTCTCTGGTTTCAGTCTGACGATTCGGAATGTGCAGCAGGTTTGTTTGTGGTTTGCTGCTGATCGGACATAATTAAAAATTAATAATGCTTTTGCTACGTACTTAAAGCGTTAACCCCCCCCCCCCCTTTTTTTTTCCCTCCTCCTCTGTGCTCCTGATTCTTTCTGCAGCATGTCCACTGCTACTCTTTGACTCCGTCTTACCACTGTCGTTCAGCCACACCCTAATTTTAAGATCTCTTGGTGGTCCTAAAATCGATAAGAGTAGGCTTCGGTCGCCACCCCAGCAAAATTCAAAATTTATTCCTATCAAACTGAAAATGCATAAATTTAAAGTGTCTAGCGTGTTCGTGTGACCTTATTGTTGCGAGCGCCGCAAAACACTTTCAAAATGAAAGAAAAGAGTAAAATAGTAATAATAATGTAGATCATTTCTATAGCGCCCACTCCCGTGTGAACACAGCTCTAGGCGCTTTACATAAAATATGCATGTACGAGCATGCACGCACACACGCGCACATACACAAACACACACACACACACACACACACACACACACACACGCGCGCGCGCGCGCGCGCACACGCACACACACACAAACAAACAAACACATACACACACACACACCCACGCACACATTACATGCACACCAAACACACTAAAGTACACACACACGCACACACACACACACACACACACATACACATACACACACACACACACACACACACACACACACACACATCTACTTACTTGTCACACGCGCACGCGTACACATCGTTACGAAATGAGCACATACAAAGTTTTGAACTAATTTATAAAAATACAGACCGGGTGTATGGCCTCTGTGACTAGTATCTCCATACCGATCGACAACAAGAGAAGCGGCATAAGGCCGTAGCTCTGTGGAGTATAATATTTATTATGAATTTATTTTCAGGGACTTACGCTATAAAAGGTAAAATTATACAATCTCTTATTGTGATGCTAATGACTATGATGATGAAGCCAAAAAGGTTTAAATGTCGAACTTAAAATATTATAGTTTTATAACGTCATGAAAAGTCAATCCAGAAGCACACAAGTCCCCATTTTTTTCTTCTTTTCTTTTTGCATTTACAAATCTATTTACGGTCTTTATCTTAAAAAGACTAAAAACGCAGTGACAGAGAGATCAGTCTCGACTGTGATGGTGAAGTTGGAAAGCAATATACGATGACCCCAGCCCTCAGCTCTAGATTGTCGTCCTGAAGGGACATAGATTTAGATGTCTTCTTTTTCTTCTTCTTCTTCTTCTTCTTCTTCTTCTTCTTCTTCTTCTTCTTCTTCTT